GGATAAACTGTACCAGCTCCAGTAGTTGTAGTACCAGGCACACTACCGGGATAAACTGCACCACCTCCTGTTGTTAATGTGCTTGGTACTTGACCAGGATGTACTCGATTACCTCCTATAGTTGAAGTGCCTGGTGCTCGTCCAGGATAAACTATTCCGCCTGTTGGAGTACCAGATACACTAACAGGGTAAACTACACCACCTCTGGTCATAGTAGTACCCGAAATAAAAACGTATGGATAAGTCATATCTTTATTTATCGTTACACTACCTTGTAACACACCTGTACTACCTGGTGGAATGGTTCCTGGATACACCGTTTCTCCTGATGATTGGCCATTCGTGTATGTTCTGCCAGGAATGATTGTGCCAGGGTGAACTATTCTACCCCCTGTTTGATCTATCGTAGGAAAAATGTTAGGATAAGCTCCTCCAGTTCCTGAAATAGTATCGAGATATGTTAGACCGCATTGTTCGATGTTTAGTGAAATAATTCTGCCTTGTGGCATTCTACCTATCTTGATATTATGCTACCTGGACGAATTTCACCTGTCCCTGATATAGTACCAGAACCAGCGCCTGGATGTTGTACATATCTATCTGGACTTTCGCTAAGGTACTTAGGACAATCTTCGCATCCAGTACCACTTGACGACATACTTTGGGCTTGACCCATACCACGACTTCCACCTAACGATAGGTTTAAATTGTTTGTTTCACGTGTAAATCAAATGTGATAATAAGGAAACTGTTGAAATACTCACTGACAACTGCGCGAGAAGATTGTTGAGTAGCCTCAGCTTCAGCTTTGCCTTCGGTCTGATCGTTGGTACCGATGTTCAAATATTGGGATTGCGTCTGTCCTCGGAATCTTCCTCGAGGTGGCTGTGTTTGCCGTCGTGTACGAGTTTGTCTGAAATTCTCGTTAAGCTTTTCACGTTCTTCAAGCACGATTTGTCTTTTGGCTCGACTAATCAAGGGTGTTAAAACTACGTCAGCTACTCTTCTAGCTACGATATCATTTTCATCTAGGGGAATCACATTGGAAAAAGGATCTACCGTTTGTACAAGTATTGGCATGGTACTTTGTACTAAAATAATTTGCCGTCCCCGACAAAAATCAACTATTCTGCCTCCAGCTATTCTCCAAGCCTGTAGAAAAAAACATTTGTCTTATAGAGATAACATTGCTTTTGTTTTATATAATATTGCTTCACCTCTAATTTCGTTAAAGCTTCAGTTGATGCATAGAGTACTCTTTTTCGTTGTTGCAATCTATTTTCTGGAAACTCCTCTATGTCTTCAAGTTTCTCCAAATAACAGTCGTTGACTTCCTTATCCTTGTACGCTTTAAAATACTGCAGAAAAATGTAAATTGATAAATACCTTTCGCATCGAAAAGAAAAGTATCTGTTACCGTTTCATCGTCGATGAATGTCCACTGTTTGTTTGGTAAATGACTATTTGCGATAAGTGTTCCGGAATCATCGTGAATGGAGCGATCAAAGCGTCTCTTCTCCTGCAGATAAATGATCCAGATTGAAAAATAAATCAATAAACTATTCAAACGAAATATAACATCATAGTTTATCAGATCTATGGAAATATTGTGTATTGTCAAATATTTAAGCGTCGTAGAATTTGTATCGAATGAAAATAAGGCGGTTGATAATATTCCGTTTAAAAAAGACAAAACAAAGAAAAGGCGCGTAACAGATGAATTGGGAATGGGCCGAGACATTTCCTATCGACTTATCACACGAACTTTGATCTTCAAATCTTTCTCCCAAGCTCCAGTCACTGTCACTAAATATTTCATTCGAATCTATGAATCGAGCTGTTTATATGTGTACGAGTTAGAACCGCTATTAATGAAATTTTTAATTACCGCTAAAGTAGAACTAAATATAAAAGTAGGATGGAGCAAGAAGTGTTCCATTAAAAATTTTTAAACAAACTGAAACTATAGAGCCCTCTTTTAATATATATTTTAGAAGGTATTCCGCAGGAAATCGTGAAATAAAATTGTAAGGAGAAGAAATCGATCGCAACTTACATAGTAAGTCTTCGAGTGCACCGTCCCCGAGGAGAGGATCAAGATGACAAGGATCAGCCCGATCAGCCGCATGGCTCGAGTCTAGTTCGAGATCTTCTCTGCGACTGGTTAACGTTCATTCGACGATAAACCTGGTAGGTTGAATCGTCGTCTCCCACCAAACACCTCTTTCCTTTTCTTCTTCCTCTTCTTCGGCTTACTTGTGCTCGATCTTGCGAAGAGATCAAGAAGCACGAGGATTTGGATTAAAACGTAGAAGGGGGGAACGGTTTGATAGGGAGAAATTCTAAGAAGCGCGGGTATGTAAATCGTGATGTAAGTGCGTCTGCACTGTTGTAAATGTTACGTTATCTTGTGTCGTCTCGCGATGTCCGGATCCCATTACCCGAGTGGAACGCGACTATGCGCGTTTACGAAATTCAGCTTTTCGAGCGGCTGCATTTAGGCTCGTGGTGGAGTAAAACTTGATAAACTATTGATATAAGTCGATAACAGTTAATAATGATAAGGTAAACGAAAATAAATCATTCTTCTGAGATATTAATATGTTACGAAAGTATGAAATACCAAAGAAATACTTTGCAAGATTTACTTCACGAAGGGCATACATGAATGTTTACCTTATCGCTTTTTACCTTATTTCCTTCATCCTTGGTATTTATATTTGCATCGCATTCGCACCAGCGAATCCTTTAATCGTTCGGAGCAGGGTCTATTGAATTTCGATCGCGACACATTCGTATTTAAGCGAAATGATTCCGGATAAGAGTAATCAGGTTTCTATACCATTTCGCAGTTTACTCTACCAGACGCAAATATCTTTCTAATCGTGAACGATATCGCCTAAAGTTGGCTTATGTGACCATCATCGAATGACTAAGATAGATGCTTTCCCCTTCGTTGCCCTAATTATGAATTCCAATCCATTTGGTGAATACAGCAAGTCGTTGTTTGTTTCGCTTCGAGGCGCTATTAACTATCGTATGGTTCATCGGTTCTGGAATGAGATCGATGTGTAAAAGCAAAGTGAATTTGAACGATGTCTTTTATGTAAATTCGTATGTCGCAATCGTAACTCCCTGATCGCATTATATGGCGCCAAGATTGGCGAGTATCGTCGCAATAGTTTCTGTTATAAGACATTTTAGACACAAACTTTTTACTACGAATGTGGAATTATATCTGACGCCGTCGACTTGCATTTCTTTCTAATTTATAAATTTCGGATTCTGCGTTTTTCGTGTGTCATTGGCGTAAGATGTACAGATCCATGAAACTGGTTACACTATCCTTGCGTCGATGTAAGCAATGATAACATAACATATACCGTGTACTTTGTCAACCAGAGGACGTATCCACCTACAGTTTACATAAAGATGCCTATCGAGTCTTATTTTATTTACAATATTACAGACGAAGCTTCGAGGACCTCCCTTTTCTATTCTTGCTGAAGTGATCATCGAGTGGGGCTGAAGGGGGTATTTATTTCATTTGGATCAAGAATGGGAAATTTCTTCCTGTAGACATAAATGTTTATGTAGCGATATGTATATATTTTCTCGTTGTAATAGACAAGACTTTTACAATTCGTAGAAAAATTGGTAAAATGTTTGCTTAGGCACTCGGGTGTACAAATGGCACGTTACATACGTAAAACAACGATACATTAAACTGCGCTAATGAAAAGGGCTAACGTTGCGAGTCACTCTAAATACTAATATATAATGTAGGGAATGCTATTTACAATCTGTGACTCACACGGCTATACAACGTAATATTACAACTCGATCTATGCTTCCTATGCTCGATCTTCGCGGTAGATCGGTGACTAGGACACGCGTTCTTGCGCACGCTCTTGCTCCAGGTTAATGCAAACACAATTCTCTAATGTACGATTTTACTGTGAACAAAATTCATAATCTACGGTGAAATCTTTATTATAACCGCCGCTATTCGAATTTCTGCGCAACCGTATCGTTTTAAAAGCTCATGTGTAACAATCTCGAATAGAAAAAAGAAAATTGGGAAATTGATTAATGGAAAGTATAACGCAAAGGAGTTTGGTATGCACATTTTTGAGAAATATTCGATAAGTTGCGCTTGGAATAGCAAAACGGATTGGACTAGTTTACACTCTGATCGTTACCAACGGCTGGTAGCGGATCGAAAAGAAGAAATTCTTAAATATTCTACGATGCCGCTCAACAGAGGGGCTACGAAACTGCGTACGGCAGCCGAATTCTGTTTACGCAATTTCGAATCACAGACGATACGCGTTTTCGCATTTAAAAACGCGTTTAATGCATTACAGAGTAAAACTACTTTCTTAGACATACGTTTGCAGCAAATATGACGGCACCCGAAATTTATCCCTATCTACCGGTTTCACGGAAATCTTAGTCAGCTATTCAGTACTCTTATTCGAATCTTAAAAAGACGCGGTTAAAATACACCAACTTCCTTCAAACGTGAATCTAACTGCCATACTTAATCTAACCGCGGAAATGTGTTACTTTAGTTTAAACTGTCGTATCCTAATGTAAGTTTCTAAAGGCGTGACTTCTTGTGTAAAAAAAAAAAAAAAAAAGAAAAACGAGTAAAAATAGTTTTCATTCTAATCTATGATCCGATCGATATTCGTCGACAATGTACGATTAGGTGTACGTTAGTTTGAAGCGTCAAGGAATTTATAGCTGCCTGGAAGAGCTTGGAGGACATTGATTTCGATCAACGCGATTAATACTAAGTACGCATATATAGGCACTGCATTTCACTCCAAATTAATAAATTACTTTCGTTCCTTAATACGACGGCGATGTGTCTTTAAAAATAAATGAAACGTAGCTACATACGAACAATGTTTAAGGCACGATACTAGGAATTGATGATCCACGATTTTACCATTACTAATGACTATGTGCTATATGGTCCCTAATTAGGAAGGTGTATGGAATAATATTTGTCCCGTGATCTCTATCGATCGTGTTTGTTTGTCGTGTTATCGAACTCGTCGTCAAAATCGACTCTACGTTCGTCTATAAAAGTGGGTGCTGATCGCTGTAAAGGCGCCATTACAATTTCAAACGTTTTCCTTTAAAACTTAACGGACTTATCTCGATATCGATAGGAATGACACTAGTTGGTAGCAAATAATAACGTCTCGGTACCTCTACGAAACGATGATTTAGCTTCACGCCTTCGGGTATGGATAATAAATTCCTCTGAGCTTTTAAAAAATCCGTAGGAATAAGGTAGTCTTTGGTGTGCTACGGAAGTGACTATGTTTTTTCTACATTCGATAATAATGTTGCCGTTACTCGACGGAGGTATTTGGCACGACATTATCAATTTAAACGGATACCCTTTTTCGTCTATACGCGCAAGTTGGTCCTCGACGAAAAACGAGTTTAACATGCATCATTTGAAATCCAAAGTAAGATTCGAATTCTATGCAATCGCCAAATTCAGGGTCATCGTAGTCGGCCTCGAAAACGCGGAGGACCTCGTCGGATCGGAAAAATCGAAACCGTTCGAGTTTTGATTGTCGTTGTTGAAACGACTAAGATGTTCTGGATTCGGGGATATAACGGATGTCCTGATGACCATCCTGGACACGCACTCTGGGTCCTTCGTTATATTGTCGTGTGATTTCCTCTCGAGTTCCTCGACTGGGTTCTTATCTCTGCAGGAACGTTTCGATAGCGGAGATACTGGCGACGCATCCGGTACTCTGGTGTGCCTGATGATCGCGGAGAACGCCGAAGACGAGTTTCTTTGGTCGCGATTCAGACCTAGTCGAGGAACTATGACGCTAGTAGGAGACGCCGTGATGCATGGCGTCGTTTGGAGTCGGTTGAAGGACGACGAGATCGGCGCGCTGAATTTCGTCGACGACGACGACGTCGTTTTTTGATCGTTTCCGTCCGTTTTCTCCGTGGACGATCGATGGTGGGCTCGCATGCAGGACGACTCTTCGTGTTTGTAAAGATAAGACTTCAGGGCGAAAGCTTTACCGCAACGACCGCACACGTGCGGCTTGGTGTTTGAGTGCGTTTGTATGTGAGCGCGCAAGTTGGACTTGTCGGCGAACGCTTTGTTGCAGATTGTGCACTTGAACGGTTTTTCCCCTGATATAAAGGAAGAAAAAAGGAACTATTAGTCGATCAAAAATGACAAGCGTTAGAACATTGTAGGTACCCTACACTAGGGCTGTTCAGGTATCCGAAAAAATCAAGCCGAGTTGGACTCGGCTCGAAGTCACGAGCCAAGTCGAGTACTTGAAAAAACCGAGTAGCTTGAAAGATTCAAGCTACCCGAAAGAAACCAAGTAACTTGAATTTTTCAAGCTACCCGAATAGAATCGAGCGGTCCGAAAAAACCAAGCGGTCCGAAAGAACCGGGCAACTCGAATATTCAAACTTGAAAGCCGCTTGAATATTCGGTCTTTCCGACAGCTCTACCCTACACTATCCTCTATTTTGAGTTTTATAATGAAATTTTCTCAACCACGGTACGATATACTTTGTACACGAATCCTCACCTGTATGAGTGCGTATGTGACCTTGCAGCAGCCACGGCCTCGAGAAGCACTTGCCGCAGTAATGGCATTTACACCCTTGATTATGCGTCCTGACGTGCATGCTGAACGCTGGCATGCTGACATAGACTTTGTCGCAATGTGGGCACCTTCTGGCCTTCTTGTCCCCCAGGGATCGGTGGGTTTGCCTGTGTCTAGCCAAGTTCGACGAGGTCGAGTACTTTTTCCCGCAATCGGGACATTCGTGGTCCTCGTTGTCCTCGGATTTCGACGTTTCCGTCGAGGTCGAGGTCGTTCTTCGGGGTATCGTCGAGGGTATCGACGGTGCCGGCTCCAACTCGGTTTTGTCCAACGAGTTGTCGGATACATCTAGGCTCCGTTCCTCCTGTAAGCGATGAGAACGCGGTGAGGAGGACACGTGGATGCCTAGAACGGTGTTCCTCTCCGTGTGACTCTGTAGAATCTCTCGTTCGCTTTCAATCCTCTCGAAGAATAGCCTCGTCCTCTCCCCGAGCGTTTCGTCCTCCAGGGTCCTCTGGTGATCTTGGAACTGTTCCTGCCTCTTTGATCGCGGCGATACGATCCTGCTGCACTTTTCCGAAAATTGAGCGCACCTGGGCGATACTGGTTGCTGGTAAATCACGTTGCTGGGATGGATCAGCGTGCCAGCAGCTGCGGCCAGGCTCACCTCCGCCAGTTTCGTGAGATTGTACAATTCCTCTGGACACTCGGACGATGTCTCGCTACCGCATTCGCTCGCCCCGTCGGATGTTGGGTGGTTCCCGCTGTAATCGGCCAGTCTCACCCCTCGTTCGGGACTGAAATCTGTGTGGAAGATCAAAAAATTGAAAGTAGTTGTATCGAGAATGTCACGATCAAAAGAATAATTGAAAGCTTTCGTAAAAAGTGCAGTCTAACTGCTCTCATACACGCTCATAATAAGTCGATACGTATTAGGTTGTCCGAAAAGTTTCTTTCGCTTTATTAAGAAGTAATACGTGCACAATAGTTTATGTTTTATGTTGCATTACTGAATTCTGCACGATTCATTTTGCTCCATTATTGTTACAACATGAATATCTATGAAATTAGATTGTCTATTTATATAAACACGACCACATCAAATAATTGAGTGCAACTCGCGAAAGAAACTTTCGGGACAACCTAATATATCTGCACATATATTTAAATTGTGATGGGCTCATATGATTCATATTTCATTAAATAACAGTCAAGCGAAGTTTTGTTAATGTCTTGCATTAAATAAAGACGGTGCCGCGTTATCGGTGTGACAGTCACCGATGCATCTATGTACCAAAAATGATAAAATGAAATAAAATGATTACTTGTTGATTGTAGTTTTAATGTTCCTCTGTAAAGCTTAAAGAAATGTCTCCTCTATGGTAATCGAGCCGGTTGTAAAATTACACAGGGATTGAATTCGAAGTATTCTAATTTTCATTTATGACAAACTAGCCTTCTTTTTTAAACTTTTAAACTATCACAGGTTCCCGCTATTTTTTCTTCAAACGAATAGCCATCTAACGGCGAACATGCCGAACTATTTTTTTGAGTTTGGTCAGCGCCTCTCTCGGGAAAACGCTCAAGTTTGTCCTCGATACTTTCTTTTTTTACTGCTAGATGGCGCCATTTACATAGTATTTACCGACGGCTGTTGGTAAATTACCATCATGTCAGTAAATACCTTGGAAATGGCGCCATCTAGCAGTAAAAAAAGAAACTATTCGAGGACAAACTTGAGCGTTTTCCCGAGAGAGGCGCTGAACATACTCCGAAAATAGTTTGGCATGTTCACCGCTAGATGGCGTAATTTCCAAGGTATTTACCGACATGATGGTAATATACCAACAGCCGTCGGTAAATGGTATGTAAATGGCGCCATCTAGCAGTAAAAAAAGAAACTATTCGAGGACAAACTTGAGCGTTTTCCCGAGAGAGGCGCTGACCATACTCCGAAAATAGTTTGGCGTGTTCACCGCTGGATGGCGACACAAATTCCCGCGGGAAATTTGAATTTCCTTTTATTTAATTAAATTAAAATTCATCAGAAGCATTTGTAGATACTATTCAGCAATGTAAGAGTCTTTTCGTGTCAATCAATACGTTAAGGAACTTATTTTCCACTAACTAACTGTCTCGGCTTCGCCTGGGAGCAATTTTAGATTTTCTGTTTAATATTTTTTTTAACTTAGTTCTTATAAAGACTCTTTACAAACGACATTAGTTGTTTTTTCTTTCGATGTCAACACAAACAAATTTAATTTGACGTAGAACACGAAAGGGTCACGTTAATTTATCCATGAGAAGGACATTCTCCGATTAAGTCTACTTCAACCACCTTAATTCATCTGTTGAGAATACAATCCAAAAGGTTTTCTGTCTGAAAATCTGTGAAAAACGGCTAGTTGGCCAAGGCTGGCGTAATGAATGCGCTTTCGATAAAACGACAATATCTCCTAAACTATAAATGCAAATTGAATACTGTAAAGAACATGCTTCGTCCGTATTAGGTACTTCAACTGAATAAACAATTAATTTTGATACGGATTTCGTACGTTGTTTCGAGATATCTTTAACGATTTAAACAAGCCCTCTTTTATCGTAGATTAATGTTTCGTGCACCTTCCTTGAGAAATGCTTTATAAAAGATTGAAAACCGCATGAAAATCCGGCAAGTGGTTCTGGAGATTAGCCCAAACAAACAGACGCCTACCAGAGACTATGTTGAGATTCAACTTCTGGACCATCGAAGGCACCTAAGGAAGAATTCATATTTACGGGTTCGAGGCGTGTATCGAGGCGCTTCGCGAAGCTCAAAGCACCTTCGCGAGTAAATCGGCTGCTCTGTTTTTGGGGAGAACGGAAATAGAGTAGCTATCTCTACCTCTCCCTTCTTCTTATCGTTCTTTCTCCGTCGGGCACGCGTATTTTCTGCGTATTTCTGTGCATGCGCACGTATGTATGCGCGTGTATGTACGCGTGTATGTACGTATCGTTTTTGCACGAAAGCTTTGGAGGGGTTGACGGAATCGCGACGGTATGCGCCTCGTGAGCTTCGTGACGCATCTAGCGTCTCCTATTCTTAAATCTGCGACGATGTACCAGCTTAATCACGAAGCAACGACCAGCAAATTCTCTTGGCTCACTCGCCACCGAAGCTTTGATTGACGAGATCGACGCAAACGGCGCGGAAACGTCGTCTAATAGACCTGAACGATCGCCTTTGTGCTTCGGTGGCGCTAGCATTACCCTTAATGGAACTTTCGCGTTGATTTTCGAAATTGGTCAAGTATTTTTGCCAGTGGAAGCTTGCACAAAAATAAGTAGAATCTAAGAAGACTCGAGGAAAAGAGAGCAAGATTTATCAAGCAAGGTCTATCGCTCACGTAATGCCTTCTTCGACGAAAGGCACACAACAAACTGGCAAACTTATGTATACATTTAGAAGCACGAAGTAAATGTGACAGCTGTATAGCCTCGAGCACGTGCCCTAAGGTACCGCGAGTTGTTAGGTACCACTCGAAAGGTCTTGAAAGTTGCACCCTCTTCCCATACGTATGAAACTATATATGTATATTCTCCGTAGAAGTTTGCCGTGGCACAGTTCTATGACTCAATGTCAGCTTGAGAGAGAAAATCAAAATAAATTTCATAGACGAGAAAACATTCGGTCTACAAACTATCTATTTTTTTGTTTTAAATGTTGCGAGAACAGGAAACATCGAAGAAGCCTCTGGCACAGAAGATACTCGAGGAACGGTTATAGAAGACAATTACGAAAGCCAACGTACCTCTTCCGGACCCGTCGAACTCCTCCTCGACACCGTTGTATCGACGATGGGTGATCAGGAAAGCTCTCGGCATTTTCCCCCGTTTCGTATTCCTTTTCTCTTTAACCCCTTCCACGAATCACACAAATCATACCTCGAATCTTTCGGTTCTACGTCCACTATCACACGCGGTCACTGATAGGGCAGACAGGAAAACGTTACCGAACTCGACGCGGCGCGGTTTTCGAAAAAATAAAAAAAAGAAAACATAAAAATGGAAAGGCTCTCTGAAAGCGACCGTGCCCTGTACCTGTTGCAGAACACAGGGGTGCATACGCCTCGAGGTTCTCGGGCGTAATAGTTGCTCCGGCTAAGATTCGGGGCTACATATAGGAGCGCAGCCTCCCTCGCCCTCCACCGCCACTTCGTCATCGTCTTCGTCTTCTTCTTCTTCTTCTTCTTCTTCTTCTTCTTCTTCTTCTTCTTCAGCTGCTGCGCGCCGCGTTGCACGCGCTCAGAAGGGTGCCCGATTGGCTCGTGTGTCGCGTCGTCGGCTGCTTCTGTTCGCGTGGTGGCGAAGTGTGCGACCACCGTGTCCACGTCACAAATTCTTATTCAGATTGAACATACATAAATCAAATTACAACTTTTTCTATTAGTATTCTTCTTCGTTCAAGTATAACTCAAAAACGGATCAACGTATTCTGATAAAATTTTCTACGCGTTTGAACATCCACTCGGAGGATACGCCACTTCTTTTATGCCCTACTATTTCACTTTTGAGAAAATATGCGTTCGTATAGTAAGTTACTTCATGAATCGACAGATTATGTAATCTATGCAGTTTCAGATAGACCGGAGCAATTTCGACATGTTTCTAATGGATAAGATAGCGCGAGCAGCTTTAGACAGAAAAGTTTTCAATATTACAAAATGAAGATCGAGATTGACAACAGGTTGGTATGACGTTGACGAGACAATAATTCTCCAATAAAATGTTCTTTGGGCTGAGAAAGTGTGCCTGAACAGGTGTACGCCCTTGTGGTGTACATAGCATTAATTTAATTCAATTCGGTGTATCGCTAAATTTACCTGTATAACCGGTTTTAATTACTTAATTACACAACGTGAGATTTATTTTCTGCAATCTCTCTCTCTCGACTGTAATATAAACGACAGTATGACGCGATTGAAATGATGAAATTATAAAATGTTAGTAGTATTACTTTCAAGAAAAACTGAGCTTGCCTGGTTTTTCTTAGTTACCTATTATTCGAATTCAAGTTTTGTCTAACATCGTTGTCAGCGAGGACTGGTTCCGTGGGCTCGACGGGTTAGTCAATGAAACGAAACAAACTGATAGGAAAGAAAGCAGATTACCGGGACGATATTTATCAGTGGCGAGCGAAAGGATGGGCGTTCTATTTTCGTGCGAAGCCACCGTTGGTAGACAGATTTTGTAGGACCGACGGCACGCGTCCGATGTTCATTAACTGCCACCGAACCGAGAAGGGAAGAAAAGAAAGAGAAAAGAGTCGTGTCGTTCTGCTAGCGGTTCCTTTAGGGCTCGCCAAGTGGAAAAAAAATTGTAGAAAAAGCGTAAAGATGGCAGACGCGATACAACAGGACACGCGGACTTTTTGCTCGCGGGTTGAGTGAAGCTTCCTCGAAGTCTGGTCACCGGGGATACAAATGTTTCGGGAAGAGAAACGATGAGTAACCATGGGCGCTCTTTAAGTTCACGACGATCTATTAAAAGATAAAAAAAAAAAAAAAAAGGTTTTACACCAACCATCATGCGTCGGTCTCGTCGAAGGAATTCGCAAAGAGCAATAGATATCGTAGATCTGTTGTTTGTATTTCCTGCGACATTAATTTTAGAGATGTCATCAGTGTCGTATACTGATCGCAGAACGTCGTCAAACATAGTTTCGTATTTGGAACGTCAACGACTACGAACCTAACGCTATTTAGTAACTTTGTTTCTATTGTCTCTGACGTTAGCTGGCAAACGAACGCGATACTCACAGATTTCTGAGAACTTTTCTGAACTTTATTTTAGGTCATTGATGCCTCGTTTCTTTGGATGTCCGAAGCTAAAGTTTCATGATAGGCCTGGCTCTGTAATGAATAAATAAAGTGACACGTTTCATTTCAGCTACACTCTATCGATTGTGTACTCTCCCTGTCCGTCTAATAATACCTAAGAAAACAATCTTTACGAACGGAACACGACCAATTACAGCGTGTTCCTTCTATCCAGCTTACGGTGTAGTCGAACGACCAACCGTGACGGACTGTTATACTTGGCGGTTTCAACGCGAATACATTTAAATCGTCGCCAAATGTGCACGTGGCGAGTGCAGAAAGCGGGGAAGGTAATGGCAACCGAGGTTTTCTGAGCAAGTGCAACTTGAACGACGTCGCTCGAGCAAACAGAGAGACTATGCAGGCAACGGGCTTTTTGGTCGGCGATTGAATGAATGCCACGCGAGTTAGTCAGCGTCGCGGTGCTAAATTCGGCGGACGCCTGGCGTCGCTCCAGAAGAACCACCCAGCGCACCAACCTGCTTCTATCCTGTAGCCACCAATGAAACAGCGAGAGCGACTGATTTTGTATTTGCTTGCCACCTTCTATCGTTCGATGTCGATATTCCCTCGACTCGTGTCTCACAGCATCTTTAGAGAGATGCAAATCTTGTAATCGTGAAAGATAAACGACTGTTAATTCTGTATTCGTCGAATAGAGATTAGTCAAAGTCTTTTTAAATCAAACTTCCAAGTTTTTAATTACTAAGAATTGTGTTGTATAGAACTATTTAGATTCGAATTCGAACAGTCTTGAAAGCTTCGTCATTATTTTCCAGTGTCGTTCACTTATTTCTTCAAGCGAACAAATCCTGGAATCCGCGACGTTGATTGTTTTGAGAGCGGTTCAAAGAACAGGTGTCTCGGAACCTCTATCGCAATCGGCGCGGTATCGACGTCGGGGCCTAAAAATAAAATCACGAGTGTCGAGCGTCTCAACTGACGCAATTCCGAGACTCGCCAACCTTTCCTCGGCGACGGATTGTCAGTATTTTGGTTTCTGCGTGTCGTCAGACATTCGATGTAATTTACCTCGTGGCTCGAACGTTAATAACTGACGGGCCGTGGATTCTACAGGTGCCCGAACGTGTTCCCGATGGAACGTGTCGCGTAAAACGCGTATTTTCGGCGCACTTGGAGGAGCTCCAGGTGGCGGAGGAGGAAACACGTATAAACCGTCACGAGGAAAGAGGAGGAACTGACTACATGTGTCGCGATACCACGTGCATCGTCAATTACTCACTGAAATAAGATCGAAAATTTTAGCTCGTCCAGAGATGGTCAAGATTCTCATCTAGATGGAAACTTTAAGTAAAGTATATTGGAACTGTTAAGTACCTTGTGGATAAATCGAAATTCAATCCTTTTCCTTCCATTTATTGAAACACCCTTTGTCGTTGCCATGGCACAGATTATCCAGAACGCTATAAATAAACGCGAACAGAGGAATCGAATTGATTCAGAGTTCGTGAAACGATGATACGACGAATCTGGATTCCTTGGAGTCGGTTACTCAGAAATTTTCAATGAAAAATTAATAAACGTCTTTTGCAATCTTTTGTACGAAGGCTAAAAGTTCATGAATCTGTTCACGACAGTTAATTAGACTCGTGCCAAAGAAAGAGAAAAAGTGGCTCGTCGAAACGAGGTACGCTTTTTTCGTCGAATAGGGAAAACAGAGTCATTAGGTGTAATCCTGGTTAGCGGGATCGTTCGGTGGAAAATAAATGCTGCGTGGAGCGTAACCGGGTATCGTCGCGAGAAGTATCCGGAAACGCCTGGTTCTTCTTATAAATCAGCGTCGGTACACTCCCCCTTTCCTCGGGCATGTCATTTAGCGAGAAGATTCTGCTGGAAAAAAAGGGAAAAGCACGCAATCGCTATTTAAAAGGCTCGTAGGTGGGTGGCTTTTTAAGCCGCAGTATATACCGACGTAGGGAGAGGACTTCGACTTCGCTCTACGGCCTCGGCATGGGGTTGCCGTGCTATTTTCAGGCCGGTGGCTCGATGCAGCTGCCGTGTTCTTCGGGTAAACCACCTCTCTTCTATTCCACGGTCACTCGCGGGACAAGGTAGAACGTACAGATTGGAATCCTGAATTCACGATTCGGGGATTCGCAGAGGATGACGCGGCCCCGCGAATTCTATTTTCTAATTCAAATCAGGCAAACGTGTACGAGACAAAAAGTGGAAAGGCTTCTCCACTTACCTTGAAACCCTACTCCTCTTCAACTTCTTTGTTCGCAACTTTTCCAATACTCTTCTTGTACGTTACATTCCCTGCATTTAACCCTTTCGACACTAGTGAGACGTACATGTCCCAGTGAATATTTTTGATTTTGGCCAAATTACAAGATTTACAGGAACATATATGAAAAAAATGAAAATCATTCGCGCCAAATTGTGTCTTCTTATTCGACTAGAGGCTTTGGTATACAGCCAACCCTAGTTTAATACGATTCATTTCTAAAAGAGAAACAAATAGAATACAAACAGGAAAAAGTCGAGTTGAAAGGGTTAAGAGGCTCGTTTAGTTTGTGACCCTAAAACGATGTACTCAATTATTTGTTTTCGGAGAACCGTTGCAAACTTTGTACGCATATTTATTTTGGCAAGCTATACGAATTTCTACAAGTATAAATAATTGCTCCTCTTGATGTAATACTTGGTAACACTCTGAAATCTGTACATGAAAATTTATGACGAACACATTTATTTGAAATATGCAATAACGCCTTTCACATTGCGACGAGGATTGCAAAAAGTATCTCGTCGACGAAAAAGTCCTTCAGAGAGAATAATTACCGTGAACAAAGAGAACGAATCGGAAAGATACGATTCCGTGGATCGTCGTAAAGACGACTGAAAACTGTACGAGAACCATTTAATTGATTGCCTCCAGCGAAGGCAGGCAAAGAAGTTTGCGCTGGAGAATGGGAGGAGACGCAGATGAAGAAGATGACAAGATTCTAAGTTCTTGGCACCGAGCCAGACGAGATTTTCAGCCGTCTACGTGTACTTCCAACTTTCATCTGTCTCCTCTTCTAGCTGCACGTCCTCTAGGACCTAGGGTGCAATGACACTGGGGGTCTTAGATGACAATTTTCTATTTACAGTACGTGACTCATTACACCAGTACTCGTTCTATGCGAATAATTCGTTGTTCGTCACGTTTTTACCAGCCCTCGAGACTCCAAAGTGGTGGTTTCCAAGCGTTTCGAAGAAGGCTAACACCCTAAACAAAATAAAAAGAAAGAAATTCTCTGCGTTAAAGATAGGTGGTAGATCTAACGTGATACGAGGGAAGAAGATACTTATACGTGACAAAGTTCGAGAATCGTCCACGAAGGAGAGTTAGTTAAATGCGAGCAAAGAAATGAAAGAGTATCAAGGGCAAAAAAATCCCGACCGGAACGACCCTTAATTTAGTTTCGGGTGCAAGAGGTTAACACAGGGTGGGGACATCCGTGGAAGTGCTTCTACGAGGGGAGAACACCGTCATGGAGCACGTTGGCTCATGTTTGGAGGAATGTCTTTGGATATAAAGGGAGACAGTTCCTTCCGGAGACAGCGAGCAGCCGCCTGT